AATAACAAGTCCAGGGATCTAATCACATGGTGCAAGGCGATGACCATGGAATGGCTCTGAGGGTCGAGAACGCCTCTCAAACGCTCTGGTCGTTCTCCCAGATTGTGCTTGATGCGCGACACCACACACGGCAGACAAAGCAACACGACAATGTCTGTGCAGCGAACATATATGAGCAGATGAACACTGGCTCTGTCGCGGCCCTGCAGTTGCCTTCAATCGTATACTCGTGCGCAGACTCGACCTGGCTTGGAGTCAAACTCCTTGCCGTGGCACCGCTAAACCAAAACTTCGCGGCCCCGCCTCTTCCCAGCTTTTCTTTGCATCGTCTGGTCTCAGGATCCCTGCAGCCTTGCACTTGGCCTCAGACACTTAGAGTCGTCAGCTCTACCAGCTGCCACCTCGGAAAAAAAACACCTTGAAGCAAGCCGCGTATACCAAGTGGAACTGCACGTGGTCCTTCAGATAGATGCAAACCTGGGCTCCAACATCAGAGCTCGCACGCTTCCTTCACGATATGAACAGGTCTAGGACCAGTACGTCCCTTAATGGACGTCCGACGTAAAACTGCCCGATGTTTCGGTCTGCGCATGGAAAATCAGTGAAGCCACCACTGTGTCGTGCAGGGTCCGTGCTCCAGGATCTTACTCTTGCGCCAAACTGCAACCCACTTCTTGTCTGTCACTCGTAGCGCTCCGTGACACATCCGAGAGCGAATCCGATCAATCCGGGGCTGGAAGCCATGAAATCCATGAAAGCTCTGCCGGGGGGCGGAAGCCAGGCTGGCCGGAATCCTGTAAGGTCAGATGCAATCTACGCTCGGTGCTGCAATCTCTCCGCCACTGTTAAAGAGGGGCTTAAGCCTAGGCTGCGGCCAGTGCGGCCAGGAAACACGGCTGTCTTGTCTGCCTTGTAAGTCAAAGTCTGGTGCAGCTTCGGACCCGGCGCAAAGTGCACCATGCAAATGTCCATCAACGCCTGCGCCTTCACGAATCTCTTGCAGTCTCGAAACAGCGTAAGCCCTTCCCGCTCTGCCTCGTAGACCTGATACTTCTTCGTGATGGCCGAGCCAATGAAGTGGTCGTAAAAGCGCGCGACACCTCCGGGACATGTCCCCTCCCCGAGCAGTGTCAGAGCCAGGATTTTTTTTCGGCGGGCGGCCTTGGATCTGTTCTCGCTTTGGCAGCAAAACTACCGCTTCGGACAGAGCCAGGGCGTTCTTTTTGCGGACCTCGCCGCTCCTCGGCGAAGAAGGCAGGAAAGTGGAAAGTCACACCCTCTCCCTCGCAGACCATGCGGCCGAAAGCACAGCCCAGATGGAATTGCACGAATCGCTTCTGCCCAACCCGAAGGTGCCTTCCAAAAAAGCAGTGCTCTCACACGAGGACGACCTGCTGCCAAGAGGAATCTACCTGCCTCGCTGGCTTGGACCTTGTTGACATGGCCAGGGTCATGTAGCAGCCTGGGATGCGCTCGCCAGGAGTGGCCAAAAAAAGTGCCAGTTCAGATTCTAGGACCGGTTCATGTGCTCTTCCTGGTCGGTAGCTAGAGCAAAACCTCATCGGATAGTAGTTGCCGAAGGACGGTACTAGAAGACTGAACAAGACATATTGCAGCACACGGCTCCACACCTTTGCGATTTATGTATCCTGGCTGAGCTATGACAGCTATGACCCGTGATGGCCGAAGCCCCGAAAACTGAAGAACATGCGAAGGTGGATGCTCAACTAGCGGAATCTCATGGCCGGAAGTTTGGAGTTTGGGGGAGTCACACTGAATAGCACATTACAGAAAGCACAAGAATCTTGCTACGAGACTTAAACAGCTTGATCCCCGACTTCAGTGCCTGACGTAAAGATCTTCCCTGCCCCAGTGTTGGGAACTTGCCATGCGAACAAGCAGGCAAAACAGAACTCTGCGGTCAAAGTGCGCCGCATATTCGCCGCCGGTAGTGGCTTCTCGCATCTCAGCGACCAGTTTCGTGTCAAGGGTACGTCCCAACATGTTGAGCATGTCCTTGGCTGGTACAGACGACACAGAAGAAAAGAAGAGAGCTGAAGCATGCCCAGTCTCTGCGACCGTTCGAATGTCCTCCACCCAGATCCGAATCCTTCTGATGCAGTCAGTGCAGCGTGGAAAGGAAGCAAGCAATCGCTCGCTAAGATGCAGGCTCTCCAGGCCACTTGCGAATGCTGCCCTCGCTCATGCGAATCTGGGAGGGTCCCAGGTGCGCCCAAAGCCTCAGAATCAGCTGCAGGGCGGCAGTGTGATGCATCGTCCCGGTGCTGGTGCTGGAGGTTGACAGATGTCGCTGCGTCTAGCAGAATCACACATCGAGCAACTCACCGGCGGATTCTCTGTAGTTCTCAAGGGCTCCTAGGCCATTGACCCAGTAGTCCTTCGCATCCTTGGTCCACGATCGGTCGCAAGCTGAACGCAACGAACTCTCAGTTTCAGAGTCTGCGAGCCGGGGCACCACTAGTTTTGGCACCGTGAGGTCAAGGTGGCCTGCAAGCAACAGGGCCGAAGGCCTAGTCCAAACCACAAACCTGGCACTCCTGCCTAGCAGCGGTAAAGAGTCTTTCGGCGGTGGTTGCGAATGCACGTCCCTTCCGCCAGTTCCCAAAACCAGTTTGCGATACCTTGACATGTGAGCGCATGGCGTGTCTTCCAGGCACGCATCTGCACATGCAGCCAGAGTACCACTCCGGCGCTCTTTCCGGCAAGAGCCAGTACTGAATGCAGCTCCTGCCCAGGCGCGGACACTGTTCTATTTCCTCACAAGGCACATCGCCGGCAGCAACACCGTTCTACAGTTCAGACGAGACTCTGGTCCGGAGCACACATTTCCTTTCATGGTCACAAGCATGAAAGAATGCACTGTGGATGTCGGCATTGAGCCTTGAAAGCTCCATGCCAACCACTTTGCACTTCCGACTGCGCAGAACTTGCGATTTGGAAGACGAGTGGCGTGGCATGTCTTCCCGATTCGCCTTAAGATTTCCATGCTGTCGGCTGGAGGATGCTGGACCAGGGTGCGACCATCTAAACAGCTGCGCCAAGTCCAGAACACATCAGACTCAGACAATGGCAGTCGCAGGCAAAGGCGGAACAAAGGAAAAGACTTCTTGGCCTTCAATCAGACCTTCTCGCCGCCTCTCCTCCCAAACACGTAGAGATCACAGGCCAAGTTCACTGAGCGCTGCGCAAACTGCATCCACAAGAAGCTCCTTGATCCACTCCATGAAGCTCCTCACACTTTTTTTCCCAACTCAGGGCTTCGGTGCCTCGCGTCTCCGGGCTCCGCGCTCCACGCCCGGGCGCAGAGCGACTCCGCAGTCGAACCTCGGAGGGGAAGAGAGGGGAAGAGAAAAAGGGAGGAAGCCAAGCCCCCGTGACGGGAGCCGAGGCCGGGGGCCCCGCGTGGTGGCCTTCGGCAGGGCTCCCACTTCGATGGGCACGCGGAAGTCAACTGGCCAAGCAGGGACCAGCATCACCGTGCTCGGCAATGCTCCGCTGTTGCTTGAAAGCTCCCGTCCCCGTCTACAACCATTGAGACAGACAGAAACCCGTCACTCAACACCAATCCAACAAGACCTGAAGGGGAGCTTCTCCTGTAATCTGCGCGATTCACTTCCAGTAGACTGGACATGCCACACACGTGCTTCTGAAAGCTGCCCTGGCGCAGAGTGAAGTCGAACTCAGGCAAGCCACCGACTCTCAGATTCCGGTTGTGGTGGACGCCCTTGCAGCAAACCCGCACCTGGCCCACTCTTCAAAGACTGTCAGAGCGCGCTGTGTGCCCAACGCCGAGAAATTGAAACAGCTCGGGGGTGCCAGCGTCTCATCCAGGTCAAGGACGAGCCTTCTGACGCAAAGGCTGGGCTTCCGTGAAAGTCTGCATCGCTCAGGTGGCCGGCAGTAGCGGCGCTCGCTGCCGCGAGGCGATGCCTTGCAGCGCGAACAACGCGAGCAGCGCGAGCCACGCTTCCTCTTTTGGGTGGTGGCCTGCAGCCCTCCTCACCGCCTGCGCAGCCTGGACCATGGCCACAGGGCCCGGGCCGGAGCATGGCCAAAGAGACAGCGGAAGAAATCTTCGCTTCTTCGCGCGCAGATGAACCGCGCAGATCTTCCCTCGAGTGCTGATCTGCAAACCCCATCGGTGCAACAGCACTTGAAGCTGACGTCGATGTGTTTTCAAAGCCAGAACGGCTGCAGAAAGAAGCCGTCCAAAGAACCCCAAGCACAAACAGCTGCAGCTGCTTTGCAGATCTTCGCAGGCACCTCAGCAACTGGAGTTAAAACCCCATGCTTTGATCAGCAGCGATCTTCTCAAGTCTGTTCCCCTGACTCCTGGAGGCCCCTAGGCATGCCCGAGTCTGCAAATCCCTGTCTTGCGGCTTCCTCCTTCTTCTCAAGGAAGCCCACGAAATATCTTGGAACATTTTGAAGCTCAGCGATGTATCTGTCGGCCTCTCTTGTGAAGCTCCTGAGTGATATGTTGGGGAGGACTTGTGAAGAGGGACGCAGACCGCGGAGCCATAAATGCCAGTGGCCATCGCATGGAAAATGCGGACGGGCTGTTGCCATGGCCAGTTCGGAGCATTTCAGCTGAGAGGCCCGTGGCGGAAAATCAAACAGCCTAGGGTAATTACGCATGCCGAATTCCACAGCTGCTCGTGCATAGGACCAATGCCATATTCTTGCGATCGCCTAGAATACTTCGATTGGTGCGCCCAGTTGACTCTGCTTAGCGGGATGCAACATGCCTCCATGGATTGGAACCCGTTGCGATCGCTTCGCAACAGGCTCCCCACCGTGTTGGCGGATGTGGGCAACCATGGCATCATGACAGCTGGTGGACATTATGAACATGGCCAGGGACATGCACCAGACAAAAATGGGTGCATGAACTGACGGTGTCACTAACTCGGGCTTCACATTACAACGCTAGCTTTTCCGCTTCAGCCAAGAAGGAAGCCATGAAATCGAAGGCAGGTTCACCTGACACAAGGCAGCGAGAACCTCCAAAACAGGAGGGCAAGCTCTGGCCTTCCAGCATAAAGTTCTTCTTCCACAGATCCCACCGCAAACAAGCGGTGGACCTCAGCTGAGTTGGGATGCTCACACTGGACACCGACGTGCCGAGACGTCAGGTGCTGACATGCACGGTGTTCTTCTGCGGGTAGCGTCGGACCTGGGCAGCGGAGGCGAAACTCACGTCTCCTCGGCCCCTTCCTCCGGAGGACCAGGCTCGTCCGATCGCTTGCGCTTCAAAGGCCAGCATCTGAAGACGGGAGATGGAGTCCTCTTCCGCGCGAAGTGACTCTCAGCGGCACAGGACCGGGAGGCCGAGTTGGTTACACGTGTCGGGAGCAACCCAAGGGTGTGTTGGGAACAATTCGAGCGTGTGTCGAGAACGGCCGACGCGCATCGGGAACGGGGCAGGTGCGTGTTCAACATGCGGGGGGATGAGTGAGGAACGGAGTGGGGGTGAGTCAGGAACGGCGGAGTTGTGTCACACAGTAAGAGAGTGCGGGGTTCAGGATTACGTGCATTTTGGACTGTAGACCCAACTTCACAATCCAAGTCTGGGTTCTCTTTCTGGGACGTGTACTTGGGTATACAGTCTCCGTCTGCCGACACTAAGCCCCCTGGCCGCTCCCAACACGCCCCGCCCCCCCGGTGTTCACAACACGTGCGCGCTCAACACCCCCGAGTTGCAACCAACACGACTAACATTCCCGGTTGCACATCCATGATGGGAGCCTTGTCCACTTTAGGGACCGGCCTGCAATCTGTGGGAATGTTGCTATGCATCTCCTTGCAATGCTACGCACGGATTTTCCGTCCTGGCTGGTGGCTGTCGGCGTGCCTGGAATCTGCGAGGAGCTACACTTCCGTGTAGTGTGCGATGCCATGTGCTGCCGCGACATGAGGGTCTGGCAATAAGGATGCACAATCACCACGTGCCGAGCCATCTGCGGATGGGCGCTGAAGTGGGCAAACTCGTTTCGACTTTGTCGAATTGTCGTAACATGTCGTAGCTTCTGCTCCCCGCCTGCAAGTTGATGCCTGAAGAATGTCGCTGGCTGGAGAGGAGGAGCACCTGCAAACAAGCGCGCCCAGCATCAGAGGGAAAACACGAGAAGGCTTGGGTCACCCTCGGCTCGTCGGGGCTGCCAAAGCGACTCAGGACGTCCATGGTGTCTCGCAGCTCACCGACCTCTGACTCTCCAGTCCCGGCGCCTCCCTCCTCGAGCCTCTGCCGGCAAATTTCTGCTCCGAGGCCACTGCCAGGGCCAAGGCTGGCACGCCCTGCTGCTGCAGCACCTCTCGCAAGTAGACCTATCCGTCAGGGCAAAAAGGTTTTCAACGCAGATCCCTTCTCCGAGATGACACTGGCATTCCACACGGGAGTTCCGTAAGATCCTGGCCACATGCGTGGCCCACTGTGTGTAGACAAGCACCCGCTCCTGCCGTGCTGCGCCGTGCTGCGCCGTGCCGCACCGTGCGCACAAGCCACATCACATCACTGCATCAAGTCAAGTTCTGCGTATCGCGGATGTGTTTCGCATATTTTCGCATGCAAAGGTGCCAAGCCTTGGAACTTGGATTTGCTCTAAACAATCGCACCTCCGGGCCAGAAGCCAGCAGCTCCCTGAGCAGCGACAGCAAGCGTTGCAGCTTTGATGGCAGCACCTGCGAGGTGATCCATCAAGCCACGGCTCACAAAGCAACACACAACAACTTCTAGCCGTTGCCTCGCGCTGCACAGAAGCTGCCTCCAGTCCCTGTTGTCGACAGATCAGATAGGCTGCGTGACTCTTGACGCTCGCGACAGCTTAGTGTCGCCTGCCCTTCACAACTGCAGTCTTCGGCATCACCGCAGCCTGATTGATTCTGAGAGTGTCATCACCACACAAGAGAAGGCCGGATTGGGTGAGTTCCTCACAATTCTTCACCATCGTCGGGTCTTCGTCATCCTTCCGCGCGGAGGAGCTCAAGCAGACACAAGCATTAAGTCCTGCCAAAAAAGCTATGCAAGGAGCTGGGGCCTCGTCGACTGTAGGCTCTGGCCTACCAGGTGCGCGAAAGACGACCACGTCCAAACCTTGATGGCGAAGGCTTTGCGAGACCTGATCACCTGTGAAACGCAAGCCTTTGTCCTAGTCTAGAACCTGCGATGCTTGCAGCTCCGGTGCGAAACACGGACGTGCGGCACATAGGACCTGTTTTCATGCAGCAACTCATGGATGACTGGCGACAAGGAAGAATGCACGATGGCACCGAACAATAACTCTTTTCGTCCTTCGACTGATATAAGCGTCTACAACGTCACTCCTCAGCCGCCGGCAGCCAAAAGTTGGATCCATGCCGGCCTGAAACGTATTGGATGTTCCGGCATGTTTGCAGGTGGTCCCGTCACACAGGCCTGCTGCTCCAGGCAGGCACGACACAGAATGTGGAAGCCTCAACAGAAACCAAGGGAGAGGCCACATGGCACACCTTGCAGTGTCTCTGTGGCCCAAACAGTCGGGGAGAACCGCAAAAGCTTCCGTCTCTGCTCCAGACTGGCAAAGGCAAGGCAAGGCAAGGCGTATCACAAAAAGTCGCTCTGACTTCTGCGTGCCTGGAAGCAAACAGGGCAATGAGCCTCGTTCCTGGCACAGGGCGATGCTCCCAAAAGCTCACGAGCTGCAAGAACAAGTTCAGGCATGCTCTGAGCTCTGACGTTGGAGCCTCTCAAGAAGCGCACGCATCTGTCTCGCGAATCGGAGGGAGCGCTCGCAGCGCTCCCGCTCGCCTCGCAGAGCCTCACCACCGAGGTCCGAGGTGCACATGGGTGCAACCACAGGCGCGAAAAGTCAGCCAACAAAAGCTTCGCCTTGAGCTGTCTGTGTAGGGCTGTGTCAACAGCATCATCTGCAATGAAGGCCTCAGCAAGAAGCGAGCCGCGAGCCCAGGCCTTCGCTCTGAGCCTCTAAGCTTCGCGGCTGAGACCAGGCCTTCCTCGACGTCTTTGTCTTCCTCCGGGCTTTCCTTCCGCCAGGGCGGAGGCAACGTATGCACTCGAAGCGGCCAAGTCAAGCACCCTGCGGTCCTGCGCAAGCAGGAGAACTCTCGCGGTCACTGGCCGGTTGGCAGCCACGGAGGAGAAGAGAGCATGCGCCAGGCGACGGCTCACCATGCAGGCCGGGATGCCTTCAGAGGCACATGACACGTGAGCGCGCGTCACCGCGCCACCTTTTGAGCTCGGCCTGGTGGCGCTCTCTCGTGAGGGTAGCCAAAAGGTCTCTCTGACTCTGCAGCAGCGAAGATCACGGCGATGGCACCTGCTGCCTCCGCAGCAAAGCTTTGCTCTGCGACAGCGCTAGAGAACTTCAGGCGTTAAGCATCTGGTGTCTCTCCAATGCCTCAATTCTATCTAGGAGTACCAGACGATTCCGGGTTTCGCTTCGAGGGTTCCTCTGGAGCGATAGACCGGGCCTGCGCAGACGTGGCAGCTGCCGCAAAGTCGCCATCCGCTGGCTCATCGTACAAGGCGACGCAGCCCGTTTCGCCGACTCCCCGGGCCACCGGGCCTCCCAGAGGAGAACCCTCCGAAAAACCGTTGCAAAAGGAGCAGCTGGGCTGAGCGGCGCCTTCGTAGCTCCGGCTCGGAAGGAGGGCGTTCCACTCGGCGGCGCACGCCGATTCGGACACCTCTGTGTGGTGGTGGTTTGCACCCGCTTGATGGCCAGAAACCCATGCCAAAAGGTAGATCGAGAAGAAGAGGTTGGTAGAGGATCACTGATGCTCGACAAGAACAAGTCCCGCTAGATGAATACTTGTCCGGCAAGTCTCAAGCGATAACAAGCCAACGAAAACCTGCATTGAACTTGTCGCTGTGGACTGGTGAGTAGACCCGCCTTAACGGCTTGACTGTGCCAAGCCCTGCGACAGTCAAGCCGTTAAGGAGGGTCTACTCACCACATCCTAGGTAACTGCATCATGCTGCTCTTTGCGAGGGCTAATCAAGCCCTGTCGGAAAAGCGAGATACGGGTTCAAGAGGCGAACTGTACAAAGCAACAAAGTGGGATATTTATCACTGCCTCTTGCTACTAAGCTGCTGGGCCGTCTTGCATTCCTTCCTTGGATGGCAGCGAAAAAGCAAGTCTGTAACAGATTGTAGCAGTATTCGCATCGACCGCAAAGAAGCAGAAGACTGCATCAAACCCTACCTCTGCATCCCCTCCCTCCGCCCTCGGCGTGCCAGAACCGCCCACAAGGCCGAACAACTTCGCTCTCCCTGCACTCCCTTTTCGGAAAAAAGAGCCTTGGACCAAAAAGCCCCAACTTCGGTTTTTGGCCGCCGACGCGAAGCGTTTACAATTACCCGGACAAGAAACCGAAGTAATCCGAAGTAGCGTGTTCAGCAACAACATCGATAGCAAGATTCGCAGTGACACTTACGGCAACCATGCACTCATGACGCAAGAGGAGCAGTGCTGTCTGGAGTAGTTAGATGCGGGAGAGAAACTAGATGAACGCGCACCGTCTCCACTGCAAGAAAGGACAGGTCTGGAGCCATGGCAGCGTCCCCCCCTGCCAACTGGTAGCGCAAGCCCTGCTGGTTCTCGGTAGCCTGCACAAGCAACTGAGGTCACGGTTGGCTCATGATGGCCTTTCAGCGACCGGACGTTTTTTGAGTTTGAATACGACGCCTCCAGCTTAGCGATGTCCTCTGCGAGCTTCTCCAGCTTCTGCTGGCTGCGCTGGGCCACAGTACCCTCCCAGTCCGCCAATGCATGCTCTGCGGGTGGCAGCAGGGACGTGCCCACGCAGTTGTACCTCTTGGCTTCCAGCTGCGCTTTAAGCTGTTTTAGGACTGGCCATAAATTACGTGCAAACATGGGCGAACAGGAGTAGGATTGATGCAGAAAGCTGCACTGCAACTGCATGATTCAGTCCAGGACATAGCGGGAGTGCTGAGAGGCTAAGATGACGACCATCCCATCTGCAGCAGCAGCTGATCTCTCTCCTGCAGGCAGCTCTGCTTTCGTTCTACCTTGATTGATTGGTTGATTGATTGATTCATTGATTCATTGGTTGATTTCGGATGCTTGGTTGATTGGTTGATTGGTTGCTTGGTTGCTTGGCTGCTTGGTTGTTCATTGACTGACTGCCTGACTGAGTGCTAGATTGATTGATATTGATTGATTGCGTGGGTGCGAGCACCCTTGCATGTGCAAGGCAGTGAAGGCTGCTCCGCGACTACCAGTACTAGAAGAGCTGGGCTCCAACACTGGCCTGAGCTGCCGCGAAGGCTGTGCCGGCTCCGAAGGAAAGGAGCAGGACACTGTCCTTGCAAACCCGGACAGGTTGGACCCACAGCATCGCACAGAATCCCACAGAATCCCACGGCTCCAGGACGAAGCCGGCGAGGTTGGCCACTGCAGCGTCGGTGCTTTCCCGGGGCCGGAGCACCACGGGCTGGCAAAGAGCGCGGCTCTCCACAGACCACAGACTCTCTCTCTATCCGAGGTCGTAAGGATATCGCAGTCGCAGCGTTCTATGCTCAAAGTCCGGGGTTACTGTAACTGCGTGGAACGGCCTTCGCCTCGCAGTAGGATTGACTCAAGCTTTGCAGAGACCATAGGCGATTGCAGTCGTAATGAAGGGTCTGCAAGAAGCCGAAATGAAATGACGCAAACTCCGATCCCAGGTTTACCCTAGACCCTCAACAGCTCCCCGAAGTCCCCACACACCCAGACCAAACCCCTCCCTAGACCCGGAAGCAATCGACCTCATTGTGCCACTGTAGGGTCGGCCGCGGTAGACAGGCCCAGGGAGGATCCGCGAGGAAGCGCGTCCGGATGAGGTGAGCTAGCTGTGGGAAGCCTTCACGGGCGGAGAACTTTTTCACACCCGAAAAGGCTCATCATCCTCACTTTCTCGCTTGGGGTCTTTTCGCGCACTGTTCAGATCCTCAGAAGGAAGAAAAGACTTTTCAGAAGGCAAAACACAAGCTAACCGGTCATACAGGGTTTGTTTCACGCCCTGGGTTTGGGGGTTTAAGGCCGAAGGAACACAAGAATCTTTAAAGAGGCAAAAAAACCCTATCAGTGTACAATCCTTTTTTCGCGCCTTGGGTTTGGGGTCTAAAGCCGAAGGAACACAAGAATAAAGAGACATGAAGCAAAAAACAAAGAGACGGAAAGACAAAGAGACGGAGAGACACAAAGACAGAGACACAGAAGTAGCTGGAAAGAAACAGAGGGTGACAGAGGGAAAGACAGACTGACAGACAGACACAGACAGACAGACAGACAGACAGACAGACAGAGAGACAGAGAGACAGAGAGACAGAGAGACAGAGAGACAGAGAGACAGAGAGACAGAGAGACAGAGAGACAGAGAGACAGAGAGACAGAGAGACAGAGAGACAGAGAGACAGAGAGACAGAGAGACAGAGAGACAGAGAGACAGAGAGACAGAGAGACAGAGAGAGAGAGAAAAAAAAAACAACGAGAGAGGGAAACCGAGCGCGACGAGGAAAAGCAGAGGGGAGAGAAAGAAGAGAAGAGAAACAGAGAAACAGAGCGAAACTACCGAATATTAGAACCACGTTCGTGGAGGTACAGATAAGACCCTGGACAGGCCGGAGGGCTTGCTTCGGACTCTGTCCATGCATGCTCGAGAAGGGGCCTACCCAGCTTGCTTCGGACTCTGTCCATGCATGCTCGAGAAGGGGCCTACCCAGGGCAGAGACAAAGCCTTTCCGACAGTACCAGAAAAAACTACGGGAGCCAAAAACAACCCAGCCCGCCGCGTGGGTACAAAAAGTACGATACTCCCGGACTGTCCCCGAAGTCTGCGAGTCGGCTGCCTGCGCTTTGCTGCCTTGCGGGGCCCGGCCTGTCCACTCGGATTGGCGCCAGGCCACATGCCAGTTCCGCCGGCCCAGAAGCAGAGGCCCGATGGACTCCAGGTGGGAGGGAGCAGTGCCACAGAGCAGCCAGATAGCGGCTCCTGGCAGAGCCAGGAGTCCCATCAAACTCAGAAGGACGAGATAAACTTGCTCAGGGATGCCATCATCGCGAAACCCATCCGCAAGAGCCAGCAAAGACTGCCAGTTCTCCGATCCCGGACAGTCCTTGCATTCCCCAACACAGACGCACAGCGCTCTGAAAAGCAGGCATCAAACGATAGTACTATGGGATGACGCTGGAAGACCTAAACGGAGGTCTTGCTTGCGACGTGGGCAGACAGTCACGCCAAGACAAGGAGCTCTAAACGACATAGGACCTACGAACAGGATAACATCCTGCATCATCCTGCCAAGTGTGCTACCGAAGCTTGCAATGTCAGCGCTTTGCAAGGCAGTCTCCTGCGGCTCGTCGATCACCAGCCGGTGCCACTTGCCAGCTTCGAAGATGATGTGTTCCACAGACTCATAGTCCGTGACCTGTTGTACAGTAAATGGAACTCTGACGATTTCCGTTGGACTTGAAATGGATGCAAAAGCTCTAAAAGTCCAGACAGTTAGTCGGGGATCATTGGTTTGAAGGTGTGTTGTATAGTAATGGAACTCTGGTGATTTCCGTTGGATTTTGTATGGGATTTGCATACAGTTGAAAGACACTGCAAGTCCGTGACCTGCAAAGGCTCCAGCGCATTCTCACCCTTCCCCGTTCGGGCAGCCGGTGTCGGACTTTGCTGTCGTGGCAGCACTGCACACATTAACGATTGTGCATCGGTGGCCTCTGTATCGACAGCGCCTTGGCCTTGCAGCTCCTGCTGCCATTGGCGAACTAAATGAGCGGGGCAAACAATCCTCAACTGAAAGCTTCGCAAGTCACCGTGTACGGTGCACATGAAAGTGGAGGCTGCGGTGCAGACTTAGCGGGGGGAGATGCACGGAAGTTTGTCTCGTCGCTTAAAGTTCGGACCAGTGGCAAAGTCAGCTTCGGCTCTGCCGCCTGTGGCACCACCAGAGCCTCGCAGGGATCAGATCGCTTTCGCTCAACGCTGCTCGGTGCCAGCAAAGATCTGCCTGCGGCGGATGCGGTGGCTGCAGCTGCGGCGAGGGCGAGCGCGGCGAGGAGTCTCCACAGAGCCACTGCATCCACTTCCCCTCAGCAGCAAAGCGAGAAGCGGATTCAACGATGGAACCCTTCACACGAGGTGTGAGACGGGCGGCCAGGATCCGCAGGTCGGCTGGGCGATTCTCGGAGAGGACCCGACCTAAGCGCGCACACTCGGCGCCACCATACGCCAACTCCTTCCCTTGCCATCGGGGGGCCCTCGTGTGCCTCCCGGCCGTTGTCACGGGCAGCAAGGGCTGCCACAATACGCGTTTTGCCTGCCAGCAAAAGCCATGCTGCGAAGATTCAACAAGATGCTTACTTGCTGCATCCAAGTCTCCTGAACCAGGAGGGTGTGCCACTACACCCCCACATGGGAGGGTCAAATCGTAAGAGGAGCCCAGGCTGGTACCTGCGAAGCGCAACGGCGCCACCTGCCCAAGAGCATGCTGCTCCACACACCCTGCGTGAACGTGCGTAGGTCCATGGCCCATGCCTGCAAGGGCTGCGCTCCTCTTTGTTCGATGCCTTGCATCCATGTCACTGTGGCAACCTGCAGGCGCGGGTGACAGAAACAATTAAGGTAGTCCAGCATAAACCTTGCTTCGCAAGCATTAACAAACTGTGAACCGCCGGATCTGCAAAAACATTCTAAGCTGGAAGGGGCTTAAGCAACTCGTCAGAGTGGATTTGAAGCGACACATGCAGTGTTAGCTTGCACTGGCTAGTTGCTTCGGACGGTTCGGGGCACCACTGCGTTCCACCCCTGTAGTGCTGCAATACAGATTTGCACAGCCATGCGATATTGCCGGCGTAGATGTTTAATGTGTGACTCTGCCTCAGATGGCTTGATGCTTCCAAAGGCTGACTGACAAGCGCTAAAGTGTCTCTCTCACGAGGGCGCTGGTTACTTGTTCTAACTTGTTGTTGCTGCGACGCACGTGAATGTGGCTGTTCTTTTGTTTCATTGTGTGTACCGGTGCAGCACTTGGAATACAAGAACTGCAAGACTCTGCAAGACTCTTGCGTGACATAATTTGCATCCTGGGCATAACAACCAAGGCACAAAAGACTCGGCACCAATGGCTCAAGTTGGTTTGAGTTTGGGCTGGTAAGTTGCGGCTGCCACCAAGTGAGGCGATCAAAGCTTGCAACTAGAGATTCATGCAGGAGCGATGGCAAGAGCAGCATGTGCTGAAGCACACAAAACTCGCCTGGTGAGGGAAGAGCCCACTTTCATCCACAGCAGCACCACGCATCTCTTCTGGAGCAGGCCTGGCCATCAAAGGCACAAAAAGGCACCACAGGCCATTTATGCCTTCTACGACCCTGCGTCATTGGGATCCATCCCTCTTTCCCAAAAGCATCCGTGTTTTCCTGCAAATCAAGACCACGGCACCACTTGCCGATACACCCACACCTGCCCCAACCCTCTGTCAAAAACGGGAGTGATGCACCCGTGTGAAACTATGACAAAATTTCTGCTCCCGGATGGGGTAGCTAAAGGCCTGCAGCAATTGCGTCTGTGCACAGGGTGTATATACAAATTCGGGAGGCTCTCTGAATAAGCCGAGGTTCAATTCGGGAGTGAGTGGATGCCACAGTAGTTGTTTCCCGACTGGCCGTGATTGTTTCCCGACTCAAAGTTCCTGATTTGTGGTCCCGACTTCGGCAGCATTCCTTGAGGATTGGTGTTTGAAAACAAGCCAGAAAGCTTGAACTGGCAAACCTAAACCCTGAACCCTTGAAGTCCCCAAGCCCTCAACACGCGACTCCACTCGACAAAAGCTAAGCCCCCCAAAGTGGCCATCTAACACTGGCCAGTGCCTACTGCTTTTGACCTACTCCTACGTGTACTTCTTACCACGACCACAAGCACGACCACTCCGATACTCCTCCTTCTTGTACAGCTGCTACCGCTACGACGATGACTGCAGGATACTGCAGGACTACAACAAGCTGAGGGATTTAACAAAGGTCCTGGGTGTTGTGATCTGAGATTACGCACCCGATGTCAGAGCCTCTGCAACAGGCTCTCGGCGAAGTCACCGGATGTTACCTGAGGTGATATCGGACTCTGAGTTTGTGCAGGAGCATGGACTGGTCGTGGCCTCTGCTGTTGTCGGCCACTTGGCTGCCGAAGGAGATGCTGCGGCGGCATGGAGAAACTCTGAAAGCCTCTTCCTCTGCAAGCCTTCAAGGCGCGCGAGAATCTCAGCCAAAAAGAAGCTAGTGTCTATCCCACGGCAAGACTCAAGCAATCTCACGCAACTCAAGCGCACCTGCATTGCCTAGCATGCCAGAGTGACCGATCTGTGCCAGAACTTCTGTGGCTGCCGTCTCATCCACAACAGTCACGACTCGCACATCCCCTTCGAAGCCAGGGATGGCGAAGAGACGCAGCGTCCCTGCGCCAGTCGCGCCATTCAGAGGTCAGCAAGAACTCTGACAAGAACACTCCCAGTGGCCTTCTCGGATGTCTTCGAAATCCAAGCGCTGCACCACGGAAGGAGCTAAGCCATATCGGACCTCTGCAAACACCTGGCAATGTCACACTGCTCCCAGCACCTAACCGGCAAGCCGTTCCGGCCTCCCCTAAACAAAACTATGCAGACATGAACACAAGTTCAGTCACCTCGTTGCTGATCAAAGCCGGTTCAGGAAAGCCTTTGCTTGAAATGGCAAGCAAGAGACATGGCGAAATATTTCTGCGTATCTCATAAGAGTCCAAGTCCAAGCCGCCCAGTTCTGCATGAACCTCCCGCCGTGGTGCTAAGAGACAGCGACCCTGCAGGGCCAGTGCAGCGTACAGGCCCTTAAAGGCTTAAATCCCAGCGTGAACATCTCTTCGGAATCGGTCACTTCTGGGGCCAACCAAATGCTACGATGCGGAGCAGTGTTTTCAAGCCTGACGGTCCAGCGGCGAGTGTCACATGGCTGGCGGCGACCATACGCTCCTGTTCTCACACGCCGGGTAACGAGGCATCGTCTTTGCTGCCAAGGTTGGAACAGCAGTCTCACCGTGGATGGCGAGGTCGACCACCGTCGTGGCACAAAAGAGGACCAAATTGCCACCCATGCTGCGAGCTCCGCTCGTCCTCCCTGTCGGCCGCTGCAATCAGCAAGCTAGGTAAAACCATCCCCACTCAACCAGTGAGTACGCAGCGCGTCATTGTCCATGCACGACAAGATCTTGAAGCCGGTCACGTGACAGCGCCCATCGGAACTGTAGTGACATGACTCGCAGCTCTTCCATGGTACAAGGGGGCATCACATTCATTACCCCCGTCCCAGGTCAGTGGAACGACGCGGCTCAAAGGAATGCCGCCGCCTTTGCACGCTTTACCTGGAGGACCTGGAGCAACGCTCAGGACGGGCAGGACTGGTGAACAGTCGCAGTTGTAGAACTCAACCCAGCGCCGCCCGAAAGAGCTGAAGGGCTCCCTTGCCACGCTCTTGCCGACGGCACTGCCGTGTCTTGCCGGCGAGCCTACTGAAAAAGCTTTGTGAGGACGTCACCACTGGCCGGTTCGCTCGCAAGAAGAGTCGGCAATGGCTCTGCCGGCTCCGCTGCGGCTTCGATCGGATTGTGCCAAGTCTCCAGGATCTGCTGCACGGACGGCCTTTGCTGAGCACATCGCAGCAAGGGCATCACTCGAGCTCGCAGACACTCTGCTGCGCGGTCGGTTGGTGTTGTGATGAGTAAATTCATGAAGGCATAACCGGTCATGTAATAGTCTTCCGCAACCGCACGGCAGGGCTGCTGCCTGGCTTTACGTTCCGGGCTTGCTGCCTCGAAGGTGCCCGGGTAGCGGTGCAGAATGTCGTCAGCCTTCTTGAGCTCCATTGCAGCATCGAAATCGATAAGCTTCACATTGAAGCTCCAAGGACGGGAACAACACAGGTTGGATGCCTTAATGTCCAGGTGTGCTACCAGCATCCCGTGGATGTATGCCACAGCCTCGCACGTCGCCCGAAAGGCCCTGGCAAGGCGACGCCCGCTTAGTCGTCCTTTGTCAGAAGCCCTTGCTAGGCTCTCGCCGAGCTGCTCCATGCCAAACCCGACCATAGTGCGCTTCTCAGCCACGAGACAGACCACCTGCACCACGTTCGGATGCTCCAGCCTTTTGAGCCTCAACGCTTCTCTGAGCAATGCTTTCCGGTCTTCTTCCGGGTCGCACCAGACCTGGGGGTCATAGCGGTATGTCTTTACAGCAATGGGCTTGCCCAACAGACTTCCCCTGCGGACCGTTCCCATGCCACCACGGCCCAGTTCTTTCGCAAGTTGCAGATTTGCAACATCCAGTGTTGGCAACATTTCCGTGGCCCTGTTCTGACGTCTGGACCGTTGCCCAAAAGTGTATGCAGGTACACCAGAGAGCCTCGGGCTGGCACTTGGGCTGTAGCTCCCCGGTCCGGGAGTAGAAAATTCCCGGCTGGGGAAGCGTGCGGCTTTGGAAAAAGCCATGGCAGAGGGCTTTGCTCAGTTCATGCGATGTGCTACCAGATCCACAAACGGCCACCGATCCACAACTGTTCGTCTGCTCATATCTTACACGAATCTCCCCGTTCCTGCCACAGACTCAACATGTCTTGCCAGCCTTGTTCTGTACGCAGAGGACCTCGTGGCAGGCACGGGAGGCAAAACACGCAACTGCCGTGCACTCCGCAAAGGCCAAACTCAAGCAGATTGCTCGAAGCGAAGGGGCGACATGCAGAGATCTGCCTCCGGAGGCAACGGCTTCGTCAGAGGTCGCACTACGAAGCCGCCTTCCTCGGGGACTGCGGCCTTGGCGCACATGTAGGCTTCTACAGGTATAGAGTCTAGAGGCAGCACCGTCACCGAGTTCCTGACCCGCACCGGTGCGGGAAGTGGCGGTGCATCCTGGGCAAAGCCGACGTTTGCGAGGGCGGCGTTGCGGGCTTGGCTTCGGCTTCTGCTCGGGACGGAGCTCTGAGGGCACTCGCCCAGAAAACGCCCCAGCCTCAGTGGCGCGCGCGTGTCCTTCTGGCGCGTGTCCGACGCGTTCCACACCCGTTTTGGCCCGCACCATCGCTGTACAGGGGTCGAATCATGGCAGGCATCCAGTGAAACAGGGCCGCACGATCTGCACGCGCAGCTCAGGTCTTCTCCTCGTCACTTGCTGCTCCCCTTTCCCTCTCTGCTTAAGCATCAGCTACTTGTGTCTGTGCCACCTGGAAACCCAACGCTTTGGCTTTTCCTAGGTCCTTGACATGTGCACAACATGGAGGCGAGATCGGAGGCCGTCCTTGCTCAGGAGGATGATGCACCCCAAGGTCCAGAGCGCAGCGGCAGTCCAGAACATTGCTCGACGTACGGTTGGAACCTCAACCAGCCAAAAGTTTCTCTCCGCTCAGATGCGACTGGGAGCGCCCACCTCATGATAGTAGAGCAAACCAAAGGCTCCCGAGGTCACCAATTGAATGGCTTGGTTGGCAGGTAGCATCACAGCCTCTGCTGAGACAACTAGAAGCGGTAGCAGACCATATGTAAGCCTAATGTACAGGATCCGAAAGGCACTTCTGGGCTTCGAATGCTGTCCAGGCCGCGCTGCCTCCTCTGACGACGGCGGCAGTCTGGCCACAGCTCAGCCATAGACTCTCGCTACTCTCGCTACGAGTACTCGTCTCTCTCGCCTGGAAGAAGTTGCCGAAGGCCCAGAGCACGCCGGCCATGGTACCGGGACCTGCCAAAGCCTTCCAATGTGGCGAAGGCAAAGCTTTGCGCCTCAGGGGCTGTTTTGGGCAGGCTTGGGCCAGGTTCAGAGAGCTTCTGAGCTTCGGGTTCAAGGATTGCAGCCCCGGAAAGTTCCGAGCAGGACATGAGTCGGCAATGCTGAGCTTAAGACAGGACCACGGCATTGACGGTGATGGCGAGGACGAACACCGCAGTCACGAGTAGTGCTCCAATGCCAAAGGAAGCCATCCTTAGAGGAAGAGATTCTGCTGGATGTCCGAGCACCCTTTGGATCAACGATAACAGATCATGCTCAGGCAAGACTAGTCTACGATTTTGTCGCTTGCCGCCAGAGCTCCAAGAACCAAAGTTGTTGAAGGCCTCCACAAATTCTGGAGGACACTTGGATGGGTCCTCACCAAGAACAAACGCACCTGTGGCTATCGGTGCCTATCGCTGTGACGCATCAGGTGATGCCTCAAAGCATCCAGCAGATCGCTGCGCGCTTTGTTTTCCCAGGTTGACTGCCCCAAACTGGATGGCACTGAAAATGCCTAGGACGCGGGCAACCTGCACCACTGACAATACAGCTTTAAGAAGCGACGAGGCCCTCACCCACTGCCGCAGCCAGCAGATAACCCACCGTCGCCTGCCCGGTCAGACAATGCATCGCAGCCATTTAACGAAGCTTGTAAGCTCATCAGGATGGCTTTAGAAACCCCTTGAGCCATGTTTGACAGGGGTCTTGCTTCTCCGAGCCTGCTGATTCACTGCGAATCCAAGTCTGCGGAGATGGTTCTGGGAAAACTCCTCGCTCTCATCCTCATGCCCTTCGTTCTCCTGGTCCTCCTCGTCCTCCTGGTCCTCCTCGCCCTCCTTGTCCTCCTCTTCCTCTTCGTCCTCCTCCACGAAACGGCTCTTGTTTCGAGATCCGAACTTGCGCAGCGGCTCACGGGCAAAGCACTCAAACAAATACGCAAGACGTTGCAGCAAGGTGGGCCTTGGAACGCCTCTCAGGCTCTTCTGGCGCAGCGGCTGGGCTGAGCAAGGGGCTCCGTGCGCACTTTCAGCATATCCGAAAACATGTCTATGGTCCGGCTACGAGCAGCTCTCACAAGTCTGCGCCTGCCGAGGCCAGTTGCCCAGACCATTCCTGCGGGGCAGACGGCTTTTTGCATTGTGCCGATGGCGCCGCTGCCCAGCAATCCTTACAACTACTTAATCGCGATTGGGGGCATTACTCTCACTCCTGACCGTCGCAGCTTCATTGATTCGTTCACAAGGCTCAGCAACAGAGGAAACAGCTCCACTGATTTCTTTCGAGATGCAACCCCTCGAATTTCGCCGAGCACCCCCAATCGGGCCTAGAATGCCAAGGATGATGCAGGCAAGGTAAGCCGGTGCGAAGTAGATCCTCAGCCACATCGAATACTAGGCCAATGCCTGCCGGCCAACGCCGTCAACCACAACTTCCACTAAATCGAAGGGTATGATGATGATGATGATGCTGATGACGGTGATGATGGTGGTTGTGATCATCATCAGCAGCGGTCATGATCATCATCACAAATTCAAAGTTGCACCGGCAGTGCAAGCAGCGCGGCAATCCTTTTGTTACCCTAAGGGCGCCCTTCGTCCAAGCCGCAATGCCAGTCCGGAGTGCATCTCCTATACAAACTGCACAGACACTCCTAAACTGCCTGCCAGAACAGGTGTGTTTTCTCACCCGTCCTCGGCTTGACGTAGGGCTGCCTTTCTGGCATGCCGGCCGGCCCTAATCATCATCTTCCGGTGCTTCCCTTCTTCAGATGGTGCCAGTCGCCATGTGCCTGTGGCCATGGCCTCGAGCAACGGCTCTCTCTCGCAACCGGACTTGGTCAAGACATCGGCCAGCATCTGGCTGGTGTCCACCCATTTCACATAGGCAGACGCATCGTCCTCGTAGTCGTGTGTGCCGATCACCTCTCGGATCTGGGCCAGCAAAATGCGGACCCTCTTGTCCTGGCTCTGCCCGGCGTCCTTGTTCAGAGCTGCTTCCAGGCTCTTCGCGTCGGTGTAGCAGAGCACCTTCTCACGGGCAAACTCCTTGCTGAGGTTCACAAGCTTCTCCTCCGGGTGCTTGATCTCCTCCATGATTATTTGTAGATACTCCGCCGCCTCAACACCCGCCAACAGGCCGTTGGCTTCTGCCGCAAGTGTGCTTCTGCACACCCTCTTGATACTCCCTGAGTAGGTCTCGAGGATCAGGAGGGGTGCCAAGTCACCGGTGTCCATCTTCTCCGTCGTGAGGCCCACGATGTAGCCGCACTGGGACTTCATGGACTCGGTGTTGGCGAAGCTGCTGTCGGCAAAGCAGAAGACGCGTGCACTGTCGAGGTCCATCACAGACGGGAGGAACCTCCACTTGGCATCGGAGGTTTCCTTCAGCATCGTCACCGCCTTGTTCAGGTTGATCACATCCTTGACCTTGGGAGATCCCATGCTCTGCGATGCCAGGCTCACGTTCACCATCAGGTCGGGCCTCGTCTGGCGTGTGATCCATCCCATTTGACCAATAAGGGCCCTGAACTGAGATTTCTCTTCCTCCGTCAGTGGAGCGTTGACCTCCTTACGCCGCCCAGGGGAAAACAGCATGTAGTTGACGCCCTCAATGGCATCGTACTGGTCGAGCTCAATAGCTCCACCCTTCTGCTTCACGTTCTTTCCGCAGAACCGGAACTCGCTCCTCTTGATCTTGAGGTGCAGCTCCTTCTCGAGTTCCTTGAGCGTGCTCTCGTAGCGCTCTCCTTCCCCGGCACTGTAGAGGTCATCAACATGGCTGATCATGATCCCGATCAGCCGCCCGCCTTCCACCAAGTAAAACAGGGCGGCCTCGATCTTGGACATCAGCCACATGTGCTTCTTAAGCGTGGAGGCGGCCTGGGAGGTCGAGGGTCCTGCTGATCCCCTTCGATTGGAGGTAGGCCGTGGAAGCGTCGCTCGCCGTGATCACCCACTGCATAAGGACTGCAATGGCGCACACAAGGTTGAAGGCAAGGAGTGAAGCGGTGGGGCTGTCGGACCTGATTCCGGTAGGGTCCTCTTGGCAGCCCTGCACGACGATTCTGGACTTTGGCTCGAAAGGAAACTCTCTCTTGATCTGCTCCTTGGTTTTGCCCGTCCTTTTCCGGAGGTAGTTGGCGAGCATCCTGGGCTTGGCGTTCTTTTCAGTATGCACCCACCGGGTTCCAATGATCTGGACGTCATCAGGGAGCTCAGCCCTCTGCTCCGGTGTGAGCTTGTCGGCTGCCTCGAAGAGCTGCCACGAGTTCCATTCCTTTGCCATAGAACCATCGAACTTCTTTCGCTCCTCAGACCTCAGGTCCTTGAGCTTGATCTCGGACTTCACGGCCTTTCCTGTGAGGAGGATGTCGGCTGGGTCCTGTGGCGTATAGTCCACGACCTTCTCTTCTTCGGAGCTGTTGCCAAAGTCGTCGAAGTAGCCTGCCATTCTCCTTAGGTTGGCTTCCTTCACGGTGTGCGGCATGGTGGGGCATTCCCAGTCGTCCTGTTCAACGACATAAGGACCAGGAGTTGGCTCTCGATCTGTTCTCCTGGGGGGCATACCCATCCAGACGATCAGGGTCATGGAAAACAACAGAGCGACCATGTGACCCGGTGCTCGGCACGCGCTGTGGTTCATGTGCGGGGACCACCTGTGGCGTTGGCTGCGGCTCTGGTTCCGACGCCACCGTGGATGGTCTCCTGGAAACATCTCGGTCGATAGCCCC